CATTTTAACCTTGTTTTGTGTTTCTTATGTGCAAATAAAATTGCAAGAATTTTATTGAAATTACATAATTTAAATATATTACGGTAATTATTTCTATTCTCTACAAGATCTACATAACAACTTTACCAAAGCAACTTCCTGTATACTCTTTGTTCTATTTGCTTACATATTCTGAAATATTAGCAATTCCATCTTACCTTTTGCAATTTTGTTGCTGTTAGGTTTCATTTCCTTGACGGTTGCGTGCAATAAAATTGCATGTGACCGAGAAAGAGCATGTTTAACAAAGTAATGGTGACGAAGTACAAAATTAAGCAGGTTAGAATCTAAATGTACACATTATTAAAATACATTATTAAATTACTTTCAAACTCGTTTAACTAAAAGAGACAAACGTGCGAGAAAGAGTACAATTATTATAACTCAAGATATTAGGGTAATCAATTCAATCACACTATGTATCAAATAATGCTCTTAATAGTTACTTCTCGATCTTTTAAATTGTACCGGAATCCCCAACGGCATACGCAAAGCCATACTGACAAGGATATCAAAAGCAACACCACTGAAAACGGAGTAGCATATATGTGTATACGGAACATCTGACACTTTTTGCAATTGTACAAAAAGTTCTTAAATTTTCGTTACTTCCACCTTTTTCCATTGAGTTCTTCATTCTGCAATATTCGACAAAATTTTTCAGGTTACAACCGCGAATTTTCAAATTCACTTTTATCGCGTTTACCTTTCGACTTAACGTTGCGAGAAATGTTCGTTACGTTGTGGTCGCGCGTGCAAGGTCGCATATTTTTTCATCGATTCGGTTAATCGTGCAGAAACATAATTTCGTCGATACGAAGTTTTTCCCACGAGTCAATTGTACATCGCGATACTGGTAAAATTAAACATTTTTCGTTTTTTTCAGAAATATTTGTTCGATTTTCGTTAATGGAAGAACGGACCGGAAATTTTGGCAGAATTTTAACCTAGAATTTTTCGAATAGAGGACGATCGATGCTTTCACGTTCCAGCTGTCATTTGTAAATCTCAATTGACGCGATTAACGTTGCAACAGCGAACGCTGAGAATCGGAACGAAACCTGTCATTTAAACGGAAAGTAAATATCGTTTGGTGAAAGTATGTACAGCTACGTTCAGAATATTCTACGCGGAGTAATTCAAACGTCATATACGTGTCAGGCGAGTTTATATTTTAATGTAACGTCCATTTCCGTGCAGCACTTTCGAAATGTGCACTTTTAAACTTTCCGATTTTACACTCGTTTTATTTCACTCCTGTGGAAATGTTGCGCACCAAAAGGCGAACGCGTTTCAAATTGTGTTTAATCAGTCGATCACGTGTTCCGGTCAGCCAATAACATTTTCTGAAGCAATTAATTCGTCGAATTGTAATTAACGCCGTTTAATTAATAATCAGAAGTGCGTGTACTAAACGCGAACAAAAATACGTGCATTTACACGCAAAGAAATTCTTTTAGTAGAAAATATGAAACGTGAAATTATAAAAATAGTTTTTTAAAAATTCTTCTTTTAGAAACGAGCGAAGAAATGAAAATAGAACTTTCTGTGCTGACAGCGATGGGAGAAAATTTATTTGAAGATTTACGTGAACGATTTGAATAAATAAAGGAATTTTAATAGTGTTAACGAAATGAAGATCTGCAGAGATGGTATATTCGAAACAACTGTTTGGTCGATATTGTCGCGTTGAATTCAGAGGTTAACAAAGTTCTAAACACAAGCGCACAAGACAAAGGATCATTTTACTCTGAATAAAACAAGTAGTTAGAAATTGTAATACCTCTTTGTAATTGCAAGTGAAAAATTATGCCACCAAAACGAAAGAAAGATATGAAAAGGATGTCTATCGAACCGACACCGACGTAAGTTCTCAATCACTGAATACTTGAAATCTAAAATACAGTAAATCGTAGTTTATACGATAATAAAGTACATATATTGCACTTGATATAAAATAAAAACGAAGCACATTTTTCAGTCAGTGTTTGAACTTAAAATTAAATTGCAAAATGAAATAAATTCACCAGTAAGTATATATTTATATATATTTTGGTGTTCGAAAAATATCTGGCATTAATTTTGTAATATTTCCAAGTATCACAATCCTCAAATTTGTGTCTGCTAATTTTACTTAAAAATCGAACGAGTAGTTTAAGTAATTGTCTTCAATTTACGCTCTCGCTTTATCAGATATTGAATGCTACTTGAAACTTTTTTTTTTTTTAACGTCACTCTTCCTTCAACTATTATCCTACGTATAATTGCACTCCGCAGTTGCGTAATTCCATTTGTATCGTTAATTACAGTTCTTAACACACTGCGGACTGATCACGAGAATTCTCGTGTTTCCTATTCCAACACTTGAGGCAGACCACGAGAATTCCCGTGTTTTCATAGTCATTTAGAGAGAAACCATTTAACGGTAAATGCATTCACCGAGGTTGTAAATTGCAAAAGGAAAAAGGAAGAAGTTACAAGCTTTAGTCGCTTGAACAACTTGATTTTAGTCGTTTCTAGTGAAAAAGCACTGCAACGTCGAATATTTCTTTCCGAATTTCTTCAAAATACACAGAATCGAGCCGGATATTCCGGAGGTAATAGAAACGGAACAACCACCGATACCGTTGATATCATCGGTGACAGGAGAACGATTCGGACCTCGAATTCGTTACGTCAACGAAAGAAGAGAGGAAGAAAGTTCCAACGACGAACCTGAATCAGAAAGCGACGATGAGCTGAGACACCTGCAGGACGAGCCATCGGAAGTGCCGTCGGAGTTTTGGCACATACAGAAGCTCATCAGATACATGAAAGCGGGAAATCAAACTGCGACCATGGTGGCTGTCTGTCTTTTGAAAGATTACGACCTGACGAGCAGGGTAATTTCACCGTTTGTCGCGTGATTGTAATGTTACATTGGCGACTACGTTTCTGGCGACCTTCAAATATCTTGGAAGAAAATTATTCGTTCGAATTGGAAAAATATGAATTGTAGGGTTTTGGTGGTTTCTGTGATCTGAACAGGTGCAATTTAAAATAAAATAAAACTGTACAACAAATACGCACAGTAATTCTACTTCTAACAATTTTCAATTAAAGTATTTTCAATTTTCAACTTGAATCGATAATCTTTTGCCATATGTTTGCCAATTTTTCGATCCCTCGGCGATAGAATTCGGGCGGAAAGATGCGGTATAAAGTCGTTTACTTTAGAGAAACGTTTTCCGGTCGGTGAATGTATACAATTCCTCCATTTTTCGCCGCGTTTCACATGCAATATGCGGACAAGAGTTGCCTTACTGCAGGATAAGATACAGTCGATTTTTTTTATAACTTTGTCCGGACACGGTCAAGCTGAAACGAGTGAAATTCTGTATTAAAATACTACCATCATTTTCGACCAACTCCCAATAATAAGTTAATCATAATTGAAACCAGAAATAACAGAACATAAGGTCGCAAATTTAGTTGCCAACCTAACACCATGCATTATTAAATACCATTTTATTATTTCCAATTGTTACGTGTCGTTTGAACTTCTTTGATATGTAAACGGCGAAATAAAGAAAAAGACGAATGACAATTCGAATTTCTTGCGAACACAGATTATACAGAAAGCAATTCAAGAAATGGGTGGTCTGGAGATCCTGGTGAATCTACTCGAGACGAAAGATCTGAAATGCCAGAACGGCTCTTTGTCAGTTTTACTTCAGATTGCAACGTCCTCAGAAATGCGACGGTACCTAATCGATCTTGGTATTGTAACACCGTTGATTCAAATGTTAAAGCATCCAGCTAGAGATATTCAAGTTAGTCTCTCGTTCGTTCAATACACACACTTTTATACCTCACCGAATGCTCAACTGCACGAAAAGAACTCTTTTTCTTCGAGACAAATCCAACGTAGAATCACAGAGTTCCATTTATCTTCAATTCGTAATTCAATTTATAACGATACTCTATTCTCTGGTTGCGAAGGTTCTGGCTGCAGAGACTATGGCTATTATCGCGAGAATTAGAAAAGCGAGGAAACAAATACGAATTCGAGGCGGCATACCTCTGATTGTAAGCTTTATCAATCAGCATCAAATTGAACGCAGTTCTTCCTATTTTTCAAATATCTACTTTACGTTTCGTTGTTTGTGAAAGCTTGCGGTAATCCTTAGTCGCAAAAGTTCTTTTTGTCGTACCTTGTGCGACGAAGGAAGAATTGTGTAACCGGTTAAAATTAATTATACATATTAACCCTTTCCAAGGCCAATTGAATTAAATTCCTCGAAAAGGGGAAAACACTTTGTTACCGATATAATTTTAAGATTCGACTTAAATTCGCCAAATGTAAAAGTGTTTATTTTAATGTTTTTTTTTATTTTAAAAACGATATCATACAGAAATACAGCATATAAATGCGAAAGCAGTAGATACGAAATAACAGCCTAGAGAGGGTTAAAATTGATAATTATTGTTTCAACTGGAAGACTTTTAACTGAAAAATATACAATGTTTAATAGTTAGACGTTATGGACGTGCCAGACACTATTCTCTTAACACGTTACGACGATCTGAACGAAACTGACAAGGAATTAGTAGCGGTCGCGATAGCTTGTGCCAGAGTTTTAGATTCTTTGAGCAGCAGCCCGAAGGTAAGGGACAATCTACGGAAGTATGGAGTAGTGAAGCACATGGAACGTTTCCTCAAGTCGCATCACACCTCTTTGATAATACCGATGATGGGAACTGTTCAGCAGTGTGCAAGTATGGTAATAAAACTTGGACGTACAGTGATGGATAATTAGAAAATTTATATTGTGCTGCCAAGAATGATTCGGACATTGGAATATCGAAATTTTCGAGTATTTGCAGTTTTGCAAATTTATATGCAGTATGTTCGTTTTAAATGTCTACGTGTGAATAATAGATGAAAGATTTTTTCGTGTTTTTGATACTCTACAGAAATAATTACACACAGACACTTAAAATGGACATACTGTGTTGTAAATTTGAGATATTGAAATTTTTTAATTTGAAAATACAGGAATGCAGATACTCGAAAATTTGAATATTAAAATGTTCGTATCATTCTTCCTAGCACAATATAAATTTTCTAATTATCCGTCAATTTTTCACGCTATTCGCACGCTTAATATATTTCCAATCCACATTAAATATTTAATTTCCACTCCGAATTCATAATATATTAGGCCACCCCATAAGTTCGTGTTAAATTTGATAATTTAGGTCAATATTCCCAACGAACCCTTAAATTTGATAAAGAAAGAAAAACGTAAGTGCCTTCTCGTTCCACAACTTTTTCTCATTTTTTCTTAGTAAGGCCATTATATCGTTGCTATAAAATTTCTTTGAATTTTTATTAAAATACTTCTCTGTGATCTAATATACATCTAGGACAATGAGAGAATCGAGAGAGAAAATGTCACTTATGAAAATTTCACAAAATTTCAAATTAACCGATTTATTTATCACCTGAATTACGTGAATTACCAAAAAAAAAAGAAAAAAACGAAATATTCATCATATTTGCAGGAGGTATTTCGCAAAGCGTTCGAGAACACTGGTATCATTTACGACGTGGTGCGACACCTGCAAAGCGACAATATCAAATTGAAAGAAAATTGCGCTCTAGCGATATTCAAATGCGGTCCGAATAAAATCGCGAGAGATATGGTCCGCGAGATTTCCGGCCTGGATCTACTATGCACACTCTTGCAAAACAAAGATGTTCGTGCTAATAAACGTTTACTGGCTGCAGTAACAGGTGGTATATGGAAATGTGCCATAAGTCGAGAGAACGTGGTAAGATTTAACCAGAATGGCTTGGTCGCCTGTCTGGTACCATTTTTGGAGGAGCACGAGGACGAGGAAGTGCAAGCGAACGTCGTAGGGGCATTGTACGAATGTTGCAAGGATCCTACTAATAGAGACGTCTTAAGAGCCAACGAAGGTCTGCCAAAATTGGTGATTATGCGCTTATTTCTATTTCTAAAGGCATTTTACATGCTAAGGAGAAACTTTCGCATGTACGATCAATTTTATCTTCATTTTTTCAATCTTAAATGCCCCTTTGCTATTGAGCTGTGGATTTACGAGTGGAAACTTTCGAATTTCTAAGTGTACTTTTTACTACAAACTGAACAGTGATCGCTGTTCTTAAATATCTTCTTCCCTTTCATTTTTAGATTTAGTTTCTCATTTTTCTTTCAACAATCTTCATCCTCTTAGTATACTTTCTCGATAGCTGTTGTAATTGAGACATTGAGCGAACATCTTTCGTTGCTCCTCTTGTATCTCTCATTTTAACCGAGGTGGAATTAAACGCACGATAAATCCATAAGTTTCTTTCCAATAATGATAATTACGCTCCAGACCGTGAAAGCCTTAAATCTGCGACGTGTCGTTTAAAGTGTTGACAAAATTCCAAATGCCCTCGCAGATCAGATTGCTGAGCTCCACGTACGAGCCTCTGCTGGAAAATGTGCCATTGGTGATAATGGAGTGCGCGCAGAACGAACACTGCATGGACATCATCAATGACCCCGAGCACATCCACGACGGCGTTCGATTAGTCTGGTCGTTGTTGAAGCATCCCAGCGATACGATCAAAAGAAACGCCTGTCTTGGTCTGGTTCCTTGCATCAAATACGCCAAGGATTCGCCTGAAATGGTGCGGGCATTCGTCGGTGGACTAGAACTTACGGTCAGCCTTCTCGAAAGCACAAACACCGAAGTGCTGAGCGCGGTGTGCGCCACTATTGCTGAGATCGCTACAGACCCCGAAAACTTAGGCATTCTCAGCGATCACGGTGTGGTGGAAAGATTGGCGCAGCTCGTGAGCACGGTACTAATTCCCGTCATTTTCATTCGAGACACTGTCCACCGTTCTGGAAATTGGACGGTCTTGCGAATTCGTTCGACGAGAGTCGGTCCTTCTACTTAGATGGACGATGGAACATGTCGGAGGAAACGTTGCGTTGCTATTTAAGGAACGTTGGGTTTCTTCGGTCGAACTGGAATTTTGGATTTTCTTGATTAAACGTGTTCGTTACGTGAATTAACCGAAGAGAGTGTGCACCTAAACTTGAGCAGTGCTCTTTTTGTTAAGAACTTAAGAAAAGTGATAGGTAGCCTTTGTGTGTTCTGTATCATAAGTGGATGGATATTTTTTTAATTTTAAATTACACTTTTAACTGATTTGTTTTACATTTTTTTTCTTTAGGTGGGTAATTGTAGAAAATATTTTACTCAGGGTGCACATTTTAGAGAAATGGTTTGAACTAAGGATAAAAGAACGTGATATACTTTTATATTAAAATTCGACTAAATATACATTTACTTTAAGCTTAAGATAATAATAATAGCAATAAATTTATATCAAAATCTATGTCTAAAATAGCTTGCAAAGCTTCAATTCACCATCTCAAATAATTTTTAAAATATTGCCCTATGAAATATATCATTTTCGAGAAATTCAAATTATATGTGTAATAATAAATAAATGATGTGCTCTTATTAGAGTTTCACTTAGTCCTTGAAACGTATTTAATTAGCCATTTTGGTTCTGATTTGTTGAAGCCTTTAACATAGTATCTGAAAAATGAATAACAAATAAAAACAGTTAATTTTTCAATAATTTTAGTTAATTTCAGTTTATTTGAACGATTAGTGGCAGATATTTTATTCTTTTGATACTCTGTTATTTGTTTTTTCAGAAAAATGAAGACCTGCGTGCAAATTTAACCTTGGCCATAGCTCACTGCTGCGACTGGGGAGATAATAATAATAAATTTGGTCAATTAAACGCGGTCGCTCCACTTGTTAATTATATGACTAGCAAAAACGGAAAAGTTCTTAGGGGAGTTTGCATAGCGGCGTATCATTTAAGCAAAGAACCCACGAACTGCATCACCATGCACTCAGCCGGTGTCATAAAGGTGCATTACTATTTTTCTTTTAAAGAACATTTCATATCGTAGCATTGTTTCAGCGATTATTCGGCTAATTAAAATTTATGCGTACAAAATAAATGATTAATCTTACATATTAATGTAACAACTGTTACGAGATATTTTAACAAATTTAACAAACAATTTGGATTTATTTATATTAGTGAAATGGAATTTTTTCCTGTATAATTTCTAAACGCTCCGTAATTATCATTGTACATTTGTATTGAAAATTTACAGCATGTGCTACGTTTGGTGGGGTCGGAAGATCCGGAAGTGCAAATTGCTGCAGCATCTACCATTCGAAACATCAGAAAGCTTGCATTAACAGCAGAGAAATTACACTTTAAAGAAATGTACGTATTTTTATTATTCCAAGTGTACGTATATGTTGTTCGATTAATTTCATTGTTTTACGATTTGCAGAAGTACACTGCAAGAGACAGATTTTCATCTATAACATCGAAGCATTTTATTAAAACACGAATCAAGTGCTCAATTAAAGGATATGTAATAGATAATAACATCTTAAAATGATCTACTAACGTGTTTTTTTAAGGTACCATCGACCAATAATAAATACAATTATACCTCTTTAATTCCATTGTAACATTAATGAAGAAAATATACAAAAATTTGGTACAGTCAAAGCGATGTACGTACGTAGTACTTGATTTATACGTAACTAAACCTTCTCCACTTTTCTAGATACTAACAATAGCATTTATAATGCTACCGTTAGACCCAAATACATGTTATTAACGATAGAATATACGATTACGAGTAATATGCGTATCATTCCTTACACACATATAAAATATATCAAATTACTAGTATAACTAATGAATACAAATAAAAGAAATATAATAACGAATGGCACGCAAACATACATGTGTCATGAATTTAATTCAAATAACAGTTTAATTCAATAGGTATAGTTGAAAAAAGGGCTTGTTTTATATTTGTGCAAGATTAATAACTTATTTGTGGCTTTCGAAATTTTACAATCTTATAATTCATTAGTTTGATATTCATACATCATGCACATATATTCTCACCCATTATATATCCACACCCGCTATTAGTTCCATTGAAATATGCGTACATATGATATTTAGTATAGAATTTGAAGCGTTAACTTATTTTTCGATGCTATTAAGCGGACAAAATATGCATTTTTCGTTTATTTGTTAAGATAAAATCACATTACTACTTTTTTTATTATTTATATATGTACATAAAAATATATGTATATTACCAAAATGTTTATTATCATTATTTAGCATATATTTTATTCATTTACCCGCGTACACTTAATCGTTAACTTACGTTTTGAGGCGACTGTATGTGTAAAAGCATATTTTGTAATAATCTAGTTGCATGATGCTTCAGAGTCTCCCATATTCTATCGAAATAAGCCGCTCGCGGCGGAATAAAACCGTTACCAAAAACCGGACATCATGTACATTGCATATAGAAAAATAAAGGTGTCAAATATATTTTCTTTTTTTATTAGGAATGGGTGAGAAGGAAAAACAGTACAAATGTTTAAGTGATAAAAATTAAGCCCTCAGGGATTCAAAATTGTGAAAATTAATCATTCTTC